GTATGATCACATTTTTAAGGTTAAAAATGGAAGAAAGAATGTTTTGATTAAAAATGGTACAACAATATCTGATGGCCCATTTTTAAGAATCCAAATCAACAGAGAGGTGTGTCTTAGTTCAAGGGAGTGGGGCTTCCTAAATCAGAAAGACCCATATACCCATAGGCCCATTTGCGAAGAATGTTGGCCAATGGCCCATGAGGTTCGAATATTGGAAACTGGTGCAAAAAGAAATTAAGATTTTAATTATAAGGGTCCATTAAGTCTTGTCGTTTTTAGTAAAGAAGGGGGTGAAATTTCATTTTGCAAGACCATTCGTTTGGCCCACCTCATTTGGTGATTAAATAGCAAAGGGAGGGGTACGATTACGCATTGGGCCCGTTTAAAATCATTTCTATTTTTTTATTATTATTAAACTTTTTATTTATTATAATATTTTACCTTTTATTAAGAGATTTATTATAATTATTCTTTGTTATTAAAAAGATTTTACAAAATATTTTATTGGACATTTTTTGTTACAATTCTTTTATATCTGTTAAAGTTTGAAAATGTATTGTAAAGAAATCCAAAAGATTAGGCACAATACCGTATAAAAAATATAATATTGTTTGCAATATAAGAGAAAAAATAATGCATTGGACTGAATCTTGATAGGCCCAAGATCCATTTATTCAACAAGCTGGACAAAACAAAGAGTAACATAAGGCCCAATTTATTAACTGTCACTGTACAAATCAAGCCAGAATTATGTGCGTTTTTTATCAAACTAACTGTTACTGTGTAAATCAAATCTTAAACTAAATCCTAAGTTGCAAAAATAGAATTAAATCACTAAAATAAAATCTTGGCAGTTCAAAATCAATGCAGTATTATCCAATTCAAAGCCCATAAAAATTATTACAAAACAGATTACAAAATCAAATCTCAGGAAAGGTACAAAACCGAGTCAAACAAAATCAATTACAAAATTCAAATCCCTAAATCTAAGCCCTAACAATTCGTAACAGCATCCCTAAATTACTGAAAACCCTAAAAATACTAACTATAAATAAACAGAAATATACAGAAGATGGGGGGGGTCGTTTACAGGAATAAGAACAAGAGCGACGAAGATTGTTTTACAGAACCAGAACAAGGCTGAGACGAAAATTGGAGACCAATAAGAGAATTTTGAGACAGAAATTCTGAAGCAAACCCTTGTCGTTGGAGATCCAGAAGAAGAGGCGATTAGAGTTTTCGGATCGGAAACCCTACTCGCTTGTCGTTGCCCTCCGCGAGCCACCGCTAATTTCTTCGTCGCTCCATTACCACCACCTCAAGCTTTTCACCACCTCGCCGTAACCTGCAAAAAAGACAGAGAAGAATAAGGGATTAGCGAATCGGACTCAGAGAACTCGGAATCGGAAACCGTGAAGGGGTAAAATTATCTTAGCTTTCTCTATTGTTTATTTTGCATTTGGGGGTTTGGGTAGGAGAAGAAACACGGTTACGCCGCCATGAGGTTGGGGGGAGCGCTAGGGTTTTGAAAAGATGAAGATGAAAGGGGTACTGAGAGAGAAAGAAAAAGATGAACTTTAAAGAATGAAAAAACAAAATTGAATAAGAAGCAAATCTTATCCGTTCGTATCCCATGCACCGCGCCCATAGTAATAATCCTACTCTCGCGTTTATCATCCACTTGATTTTAATCAAACGGCCCATAAGGCCAAGCCGCACCCTAAGGCTATGCATCGCGTAATACACAATCAGCCTGCCTCCTCCAAACCGTGTAATGGGCCTAAGCCCAATAATTTCTACACCCTCCCTATCCTCAATTATTGAAACTCCAAGCGAATCACACCCCCTCCTTGCCTGAACTATCTTGGGCCTAAACCCATATTACTAAACAACACCCCTTGTTTCTGTTGCACAACTAGAAATACACCCCCCCAGATTTGCTTAAATTATTATTTTTTATTATTTCTTTTATATCATTTTTATACTACACTTTATTAATTATTTATTTCTTTTTTTTTTCATTTATAATTATTATTATTACTATTAATTTTTATTATCATATTTTTCTATTATTATTATTATATTATTATTTGTTATATGTAAATATTGTTATATTAGCATATAAATTATTTTCTCAAAAAAACTCATGTACATATATTATTTTCTCATATATTGCATTAAATCTTTTTTTATCATGCATTAATCAATATTTTCGCAATTATTACAGTTAAAAAACACAAACCATACATCAAACTATTTTCGCGAACTAATTAAGTTAATCAACAGTCTTTTTTGTAAATGGGTTTCAAACTAATTTTGGCTTACTGCGTCCTCAATCAAAAATCTCCACAGTCACTACTCCTGACCGAGTGCGAAGTGATTCAAAATATATTTGCAAACCCCTAAAAGACACCAACCCATACGAACTACGAATTAGGACTCTGATTCCTCATAAGAGGATATGTAGGCACGCGATCTAAAATCATGGCGAGTCTTGCTAATTAAAACTTAAAACCCTGTTTACCCCAAACCTAAACCTAGAGCTTAATATCCTTGCGAACAAGATGGATGAAAGGTGCCTAACACCTTCCTTTCGTCTAATTGAGTCTGAAACCTAGAATCTTTGTCCGCAAATTAGGGTTTTCTGTTAGGTTCCTTTCCCTAGGATAAAAACTAATAGTGGCGACTCTTGATTAAAAAACCAGTTGCTACACTAGGCCTACGATACAATCTTCAAATCTTGCTGATACTATTCACCTTGTTATGTCAAATCAACTTGGAGATACCATGAAAAAACAACATGCAACATTGGAGAGTCGGTGACAAAAGAAAAAAGAGCCAATGGTTTAAAAGGAGAAAAATATCAAAAGTATTTACAATATATTTGGTGCATGAACATACGAAACATTTGGTGCATATACATATACATTTGTGTTTCATATCAATTTAGGGCATCGTGCATGGCATTTTCAAATCTACTTTGGGTAAGAATACTACAAATTTTCTTGGGGCCTATTGTTGAATTAGCTTATCTACGCAAAACAAACAAACACCTTGGTTGAGAACAGACACAACCGGTAAACTTCGATCTTATCTTTGATTTAGTTATCTAAGATTCGATTATCAAAATACTTTTCAAATTTCAAACTCGCATCATTACAAAATTGGCTAATAAAATGTAAAAAAAATGGTTAATGAAGTGATGTTAGTTCATGTTGGGTCATGCTGGTTATGACCTCTGTGTCGTATCGGTTCAACATAAATGGCAATTATACCACTGTTATAGAGGCTAATCGGGGTTTGCGTTAGAGGGATCCCATGTCTCCCCTTTTGTTTATCATAATGATGGAATACTTAAATAGATACCTCAAGCGTTTGAAAAATAATTCAAACTTTAACTTTCATTCAAAGTGCGAAAAACAAAACATCACGAATTTGTGCTTTGTGGATGATATGTTGATGTTTTCAAGGGGTGATCTTGAATCAGTTAAGCTCATGATGAATGCGTTTATGGTTTTTTCAAACTCCACGGGCCTTAGAGTACGACCTGCAAAGTCTTTTATTTTCTATGGTGGAATAGAGAATCAGGTGAAGGATGATATCAGAAAGTTTATTGGTTATGCAGAGGGAGCCCTTCCATTTTGTTACCTTGGTGTGCCAATGTCTAGTAAGAGATTGAACATTCATGACTATGGAAGCCTCATTGACAATATTGTTCACAAGATTACTCATTGGAGCTCGTGACTGCTTACTTATGCGGGCAGGTTGCTCCTTCTCAAGAGTGTTCCGTTTGCGATTTCACATTATTGGTTGCAGTGCCTTCCATTTCCTAAGTATGTAATTCATAAGATTAACTCAATTTATCGAGTGCTCTTGTGGACTGGAACAAGTGGGAATAGTCGCAAAGCCCCAGTTGTTGGGAAAAAGGTTTGCAAACCAAAGCGTTATGGTGGTTTGAACCTGGTTAACCTTGAGACGTGGAACCAAACAACTTAATTGAAGCTTTTGTGGAATCTTAGTGGAAAATCGGACAGCTTGTGGGAGAGATGGGTGCACACGTACTATTTCAAACACCAAGATGTTATGGATGCTAAAGTGACAAAGAATGCGTCCTAGATCATGAAAGTTGTGTTGAATCAAAGAGATGAGATCGTACAGAGTCAAACCTGGAAGGATATGCTGCAACAAAACAAATTCCATATGGCCAAAATATATTAGAATTTGCAGAAAAATGTGCAACCTGTATCGTGGAAGACCATGTTTTATGAGAATTTCGCTAGACCAAGGGCAAAAGTTACGCTTTGGATGGCGTGTAATACGCGTTTGGCAACTAAGGCTAGACTGTATCGGTATGGTGTGGTAGAAAACTCCAAGTCCTCCTTATATGCAGAAGATGAAACGCAAACCCACCTTTTGTTTGATTGTGTGGAAACCAAAAAAATATGGTTGAAAGTCCTTGATTGGCTACAAATCTCTCATATTGCAGGTGATTGGGATCAAGAACTTGAATGAATTGTCAAGAACACTAAAGGTAAAGGGCCCCGAGCTAAAATTCTGAAGCATGCAACTACGGAGAGCATATACGAGGTTTGAAGCTATCAGAACAATATTTGTTTTGGTAGTGGTGTACTTGCACAGAAAATTGAAGAAAAAGTCATAAACATGATAGTTTATAGAAGGTGGACAAATCAGAAATTACGTCAACACTTAGATAGGTTGATACTTTAAAATTAGTATCTTTATTTTTTGTCGGGTTTAATCTTTTGAGTTGGATCATGGTGATCGCTTTTATATATCTGTTTTTGAATTAATCAAAATTTCTATTGATTAAAAGAAAACACAATGCATCTAAAGCACATATCAATACCTTATCTTATTCATTTGTTCTGAAAAATGAACATAGCAAATATAGAATCCATTCAACACTAAAACTTAAACATTTTATTTTTCTCAAAACAACACCAAATTCATCATAACAACAACACATATAACACACAATTTCACATCATCTCAATCTGACTACTACGCTTATTCTTCTTGGTAGCAGCAACTTCAACATCTTCATACAAAGAACTTGCATATTTCGAACTCGAATTCTCAAGTTTATCACCTTGACCCCAAATTGCATAGGCCTCTTCACCATGAGCAGCCTCATCACCAATCTCCATATCCTCTTCGGACATTCTCAACGGAACAAAGACTCGAATCAGAAGACATATCAAACTCGTGCTAATAACATTAACAAAGATAACAAACAAAATTCCAAGGAGTTGGATTCCTATTTGTCTGAATCCGGTGCTCGCTATGTTCATTTGGATTCCGTATAAAAGACCAACGTATTTGCTATAAGCACCGTAGAACAAGTAGTTTAGTTTTGGTTCGGCAAATAGACCGGTGAGAATTCCTCCAAGACTTCCTGCAATTGCATGAGTGTGTAACACTGCCATTGTGTCGTCTACTTTTTGAAGTAGCTTTGATCTCTTGTGGATTACCATCATGGTAAACCATGGAATTGAGCCGGAGAATAGTCCCATTATAAGTGCTGCCCAACCTTGTACAACACCTGAGTAAGATCGATAAAATAAGAATCAGTTATAACATTATACAACTGCATAGACTAATCTCTCGAACTGAGTAGTACCAGTAGAACCATGGTTTGAAGAAATTAGTTAAATATTTACAAACCTGCAGCTGGAGTGATGCAAACCAAACCAGTAATCATGCCTTGAACAGCACCAATAACAGAAGGCTTTCTGAAGAAAATGACATCAAGGAAAACCCAAGTAAGCAAGCTAGTAGCAGTGCAAGCATGTGTGTTCAAGACAGCCAAGGAAGCATCTAGTCCAACTGAGTAAGGATCTCCTCCATTGAAACCTGTCCATCCCATCCACAACAGTCCTGCTCCAGCCAACATAAGAAGTAGATTGTTTGGTGGAAACCTTTCCCTATCTTTGTTTAGTCGCGGTCCAACCTACCAAATCATCATATATACTTCTTATTCAGATAAAAACGTGCAATACAAGGACTTTTAAAGATTTCTACAAATACTAGTTTCAGAGTCTGTCTTTGAGGACGTACAGGGCTTAAAATTTAACTGTAGTTAAATAAGGTTTTATAAAATATTTGTCAGCGCTCTACACAGGATCTCGAAAAATATGAGATTGTTCAGACTAGTTTTGTCTAAATATGTTTAGTTATAAGCATATAAAAATCATTATCACTTACCCAATAAGCGGCGGTGAAACCAGCGACGCCGGAAGATAAATGAATAACATAACCACCAGAGTAATCAATGATCCCCAATTTAGAAAGAAATCCATTAGGACTCCAAATACTAAAAGCAGTAATAGTATAAGAAAAAGTGAGCCATAAAGGAACAAACAACATCCAAGCATAGAAGTTCATTCTTCCAAGCAAAGCACCAGCAATCAAAATCAAAGTAATAGCAGCAAAAACACACTGAAAATAAACCATAGTAGCAATAGGAAAAGCTCCTAAAAAAGCTTGTTTGAAAAGATACTTTTCATCAAGTGCAAGTGCTGGTTTACCCCAAAATGGTAAAAGCCTATCACCAAATGACATTCTATAACCCCAAATGACCCAACAGAAAAACACACATGCAAATGCATAGAGTGTCATGAATGCTGAATTCACTGCCCATTTCTTTTTCACCGCGCCACCGTATAATATTATTAGTCCCGGAACACTTTGCAGTCCGACTAACGTCGCAGCCATCAGCTGCCACGCATTGTCGGATTTGTTTAGCCATTCGGGACTCCCGTCGGACGGTAGAAGGTTCGACGGAAATGGAACTCCGGCCATTTTAATTTCCTTTTGAACAAAATAACTTAGTGATTAAGTGAAAACTAAGATGAATTATGTGATGTGGTGAGAGTTGATATATATATTTGGAAGACAATGTTTTGATTCTCACGACTAGCTGTATATGTATTAGTTTTTAATATTCATTGTAAAATTTTCTTAGGCTATGTCGCTCATAAGATATGTAACATTGAATTGAATAAAATTTATAAGCGGACATTACTATTTTTGTTACCAATCACATCAAGGCTTATTATTATGCTATCATCATGTTGGTACATTCATGTACTGTCTCTGTCTCATATGCTTATTTTATTGATAATGAATGTTGTGAATGTTCGTGTGCTATCATCATGATATTCATAATCATGTTGGTTACAAAACTAGAGTATTTATATTTATTATGTATATGCTGAAAACGGCTTATGTTGTTCTTCTTCTTCTTAAAATGTCTTGTTCTTGTATTGCTACATTTTGCATATGTGCAAAATGTATCCACTATTGTTCTAGCACAATAAGGTTATCGAAATGGTAATTTGAAATTAAGATTTTGTTTGCGAGTTTAGAGAGGAAGGAAAGATTTGAAAACAAATTTTTTAAAATATAGAAAAATATTTAATATTTTTTAAAAAGAATGATTTTTTATAGTATTATAAAAGAATGTTAAGAAGGAAAATGTCACTTGGACTGTGTTTTGTAGGGAATTTTTGAGGAAGTATTTTCTTGAAGATGTCCGTGGTAAGAAGGAAGTTGAGTTTCTTGAGCTGAAGTAAAGAAGTATGTCGGTTGTTGAGTATGTTGTAAAGTTTGTTGAGTTGGCTAAGTTTTATCCGCACTATAGCAAGGCAAATGTTGAGTTTTCAAAGTGCATCAAGTTTGAGAACGGGTTGCACCCAGAGATCAAGAAGGCAGTTGGATACCAGAAGATTCGTGTCTTTGCTGATTTGATTGATAGTTGCAGGATTTATGAAGAGGATAATAATGCTCATTATAAGATTATCAATGAGAAGAGGAGTAAGCACCAACAGAATCGTGGTAAGTCATACGATGTCTCAGCTGGTAAAGGTAAACAGAAATTTGCTCGGGGTCAGAGAACTAGTGGGGGAGATGCTCCTGCTGGTGTAGTTTATTTCAAATGTGGAAAACCTGGGCATAAGAGCAACGTGTGTACTGCTGAGGTGAAGAGGTGTTTCTGTTGTGGTAAGACTAGACATGTTGTATCTGAGTGCAAGCATAAAGAGATTATTTGCTTCATTATGGTGAAGAAGGACACGTTGGTAGTAAGTGTCAGAAGCTGAAGAAGGCGCAAACCAGTGGAAAAGTGTTCGCTTTGGCTGAGAATCAGACGGCTAATGAGGACAGACTCATCAGAGGTACATGTTTCATTAATAGTACTCCTTTTTAATTACTATTATTGATATCGGTGCTACTCATTGCTTTATTGCTGCTAATTGTGTTGAAAGATTGGGCTACGTCATATAATGTTTGAGGGACATAGAATCCCCGTAGGTGATAAAGCCTTCGCCTGAGGGACTCAGTACCTCTTAGGGAGGGATTGCTTCCAAAAATCATGACTAAGGGGCGTGACCTATATCAAGCCTCGGAGACTTGGTGTCAAGTCTTGCTAGAGGAATCCATAAAAGTCCCACTTGAAAGGTTAAACGTCCCGCCCGAGGGACTCGGCGTCCCCCCAGTCGAGCTATGTGATATAACATTTGAGGGACTTATAATCCCCAGAGTTGATAAAGCCTTTGCATGAGGGACTCAGTACCTCCTCAGGTGAGATTGCTTCCAAAATCAAGCCTAAGAGGCACAACCTATATTAAGCCCCAGAGACTTGGTGTTAAGTCTTGCTAGATGGCTCGATAGAAATCCCGCTTAAAAGGTTAAACGTCGTGCTTAAGGGACTCAGTGTTTCCCCTACCAGGCTACATGATATAATGTCTGAGGGACTTAGAATCCCCAGAGTTGATAAATCTTTCGCTTGAGGAACTCAGTACCTCCTTGGGTGATATTTCTTTTAAAATCACGCCTAAGGGGCGCGACCTATATCAAGCCTCGGCAGACTTTGTGTCGAGTCTTACTATAAGGCTTGATATAGATCCCGCCTGAAAGGTTAAGTGTCCCGCCTGAGGGACCCAGCGGTCCCCCAACTGGGCTTAGTGATATAATATATGAGGGACTTAGAATCCCCAAAGTTAATAAAGCCTTAGCTTGAGGGAATAAGTACCTCCTCGGGAGAGATTGCTTCCAAAAATCATGCCTAAGGAGGGTGACCTACATCAAACCCCAAAGACTTGGTGTCAAGTCTTTCTAGAGGGCCCAACGGAAGTCCTGTCTAAAAGGAGACACATTATGTCGAAGGACTTGATGCCTTATTGTCCAAGTTGCATAGTAGTAGATTTGTAAAGACCTGGTTCCTAAAGTTCAATTAGAACTTCATAAAGGAAAACATCGATCCTCGGAATACTCCCATTATACGCAGGTAAAAAATACTTTGCCCTCAGCTGGAGAACTCGTGTTTGAGGGACTGTGTAGTGTTATATTGTAAATAATCTCTCCTAGGGAGACACATTGGGACCTCCCTAGAAAAGATATATGACACTAGGCCGCATGAAGGGAAGAATCGTCTTGCCCTTATGTTTTCCTCACCTCTTGAGAGAAGATACGCGGGATAAAACGTGTCTTGGATAGAGAGAAAGTCATAGTCATTTCCTATCCACATTTCCTTTGAAAATAGAGATCCAACTGTCCACCTCTTGACTTGGTGGGTGGCAAACTTTCCCAAGAAAATCCTAGGGATCAGAAACTCTTATAAATACATTATTTCTCAAGAGGATAAGGGACTCGAGTCTTATTCTCAAGTCATACACACTCAATATTTCCAACTACTACTCAGAACGTGTAATATACCTACTAAGGCCTTTGAGTTTCCTTGTACTTGTAGGGGTAACACGCACACACATGTACTTTTTGGATAGTATAAAGATCATCTTCATTCAATTCAAATTGAACATGTGTGTCCAGATGAAGAATTAATCACTTGTATTCAGATGATGTTCATATGATGAAGACATGTTATGATGAGTCACCACAAATAATATTCTTTAAACCATTATATCATGAATTTTGTGTCAGAACAAGGAATAAAATGATAAGGTTTCATACAGGTAGAATAATTCCAAAATAAAAATGATTGTTATGGATAAATTATTAGAAAATAAAATATCCTGGTCATATTTATAAGCATAAAAGTTAAATGTTGAAAGTTACCAATCTGCACTAATTTATATAAGAACTTGAACAACAGTCTAAACTTTTGTAAGTTTTTCGTTTCATTTTAATATTATCAACGAAGGTACACTTGGACACATTTTCACTTTATTCACTATTCTTTCGTAGAAAAGGTATACCCTTATAACCGAGGTTCATTAATTTTACCGCTCTATGTAAGTTGTACTAAACAAGCATCTTTGTAATTTCCCAAGTCCTCTAGTGTAAGGCATGGAAGACCTTTCAATTTTAAAGCAAGGAAGACCGTGCAATTGTAAGGCAAGGAATTCCTTTAGTGAGAGGCAAGAAAACCTTCTAGCACTCACATCTTTTGCCCAATTGGTGTTTGTATACTTAACATATAAGTGTGATCCTTATAACTAAAAACAATCCCCTGACAAAGTGACATTTTCATATACTTAAGAGAGGAGGCACACACACATATGGAGCTTAACCTACATAATCCCTAAGATTTTGGAATAGATTAAATTAAAAAGTAGATGGTATATAAACAAAGCTACAATATCGCAACAACTATAAGTACTTTTTTTAACTTGTCCAAATGTATCATAATTCATAACAAAAAGTGTACAACAACTACCTCCTATTAGGGAAACATTCACCCTCTTCTGGAGCCATGCAAACTTTGATGGGATGGTTTATCAATCTTGTGTAATCCAACGCAAGAGCATATTAGGAAAATCATAGGGTTGAATGATGCATGTAGCCATAGGCGTCAAGTAAAGAAAGGTTTGGTTGTTATTGTATTATCCACATATAGAGTTTAGCTTTAGAATACATGACCACATTGTAGAATAAGAAATCGTATAAAAACTGCATATATAAACCAGTTAACATAATTTACCATAGCATGACTTAAAACATTAAGCATGAACTCATATATGTTAACACTTGATCATTCCATATACGACCAAATATGAATCTTTATTATTTGAGGTATAATACATTTTTACAGAATTGGGAACATCTCATTTTTCTTTGCATTGTTATGCATTACTGCTTTAACATGATATATAACCACATAAATGATGCCAATCTAACATTAGATTCCAATAATATACTTGAACAAAACCATGTTCTCATACCATACCTTTGACTACATTATTAATAATAAAACCCCAACAACATTTAATTTGAATATGTGTCTTTGTAAATAAAAAACTAGTAATGAGAAATACATTACAAGTCAATATATTCAAATTAAAATTGGAATATATGGGGAAAAATAATTTTGAAAGTGTAAGTCTTTGTTTTGAATAAGGAAAATGGCAGAGAAGAAGTGTGTAGATGTGTTACTGTGAAGCTTTCTTTTTTTCTTTTCTTTTCTTTTTTTAAAACTTTCTTTTATTTAATGAAAAACTAATGTTTAATACAAAGAAAAATAATAATTTAATAAAAAATAGTGCTCCCTAATTCTAGCAACCACTACTAATTAAGTGAAAAACAAATAAGAAACTAACTAATAAGCTGAAAAATAGGAAACTAATTTGTCCACTAACAATAAAATAATAGATATTCTACCTTAACATATTCAAAAGAAAAAATATAGCATCCAAAGACACATTTCAACCCTGCTCTTTGCCTTGGAGGCTGAAATTCCAAGTTTTTTCTTGAAAATTCAAACCTGCTAGGTAGAAACAACTTGGTAAACATATTTTGGTCTTCTATTTTGCAATAAACCAAACATACATCACAATTTTCTTGAA